AAATAAACCTATTGGAAATTAATGAAAATCAACTAAATTAGACATAAATGCACCATCTAACATTTTATTTTTTTTCTCGAAAACTGTTCAGGAGAAAATTATGACATTTTCTGGAAAAAAAGGGGCGTATCATAATAAAATTTCAAATTCATCCCAGTGAAAAATAATCCCATTGGAAATTAATGAATATCAACTAAATTAGGCATAAATGCACCAACTGATATTTTTTTTTTGTCTGGAAAACTATTCAAGGGAAAATTATGACATTTTCTGGAAAAAAAGAAGAAAGTCAGGGGCGTATCATAGTAAAATTTCAGATTTATCCAGTGGAAATGAACCGCATTGGAAATTAATGAAAATCAATTAAATAAGACATAAATGCACCATCTAACATTTTATTTTTTTCCTAGAAAACTGCCCAGGAGAAAATTATGACATTTTCTGGAAAAAAAAGGAAAATCATGGGCGTATCATAGTAAAATTTCAAATTTTTCCAGTGGAAAATAACCTCATTGGAAATTAATGAATATCAACTAAATTAGGCATAAATGCACCATCTAACATTTAATTTTTTTTCTAGAAAACTATTCAAGGGAAAATTATGACATTTTCTGGAAAAAAAGAGGAAAATTAGGGACGTATCATAATGCAATTTCAAATTTTTCCAGTGGAAAATAACCCCATTTGAAATTAATGAAAATCAATTAAATTAGACATAAATGCACCATCTAACATTTTATTTTTTTCCTGGAAAACGGTCCAGGAGAAAATTATGACATTTTCTGGAAAAAAAGCGGAAAGTCAGGAGCGTATCATAGTAAAATTTCAAATTTTTCCAGTGGAAAGTAACCCCATTGGAAATTAATGAAAATCAATTAAATTAGACATAAATGCACCAACCAACATTATTTTTTTTTTTTTGGAAAACTATTCAAGGGAAAATTATGACATTTTCTGGAAAAAAAATAGGAAAATCAGGGACGTATCATAGTAAAATTTCAAATTTTTCCAGTGGAAAATAACCCCATTGGAAATTAATGAAAATTAATTAAATTAGACATAAATGCACCATCTAACATTTTATTTTTTTCCTGGAAAACGGTCTAGGAGAAAATTATGTAATTTTCTGTAAAAAAAGAGGAAAGTCAGGGGCGTATCGTAGTGACATTTCAAATTTTTCAGTGGAAAATAACCCCATTTGAAATTATTGAAAATCAACTAAATTAGACATAAAATGCACCATCCAACATTTTATTTTTCTTCTGAAAACTATTCAGGGAAAAATTATGACATTTTCTGGAAAAAAAGAGGAAAGTCACGGACGTATCATAGTAAAATTTCAAATTTTTCCAGTGGCAAATAACCCCACTGGAAATTAATGAAAATCAAGTAAATTAGGCATAAATGCACCAGTTAACATTTTATTTTTTTTCTGGAAAACACTTCAAAGGAAAATTATGAAATTTTCTGGAGAAAAAGATAAAAGTCAGGGGCGCATCACACTAAAATTTCAAATTTTTCTCGCGAAAAACAACAAAATTAAAAATAATTTTAAAAATTAAACAGAGGTGCGTTCAATAACATTTTTTTTGGTATAAAAAATGGACCTGCACAGGAAAATCAATGAAATTGACACTCGGCAGAGTAAACCCAGTCACCAAAAAAACGATAAGGGCTTGCACGCCAATAAAATAGGTTTAGGAAAATTAGAATAAGGATTTACATGCCACCCGAAAAAACTAAATAATTTGATAATGTATAATTATAGTACAAATACTATAGGTAATTATAGTATGGTTGGCAACACTGTCTATGTTTTATCTCAACTTATACCCTATTCATTTAGTATAAAGTTTGAAGAAAGTTTCCCTTTACTTTTTTCTATTAAATTAGATATTATGGGTGAATATGCAAAATATGTGTAAAGTTAAACGATATTTTTACCTCTTTTTAATCAAAATCTATCTAATATAATTAATACATTTTAATTTTTAAAGACATAATTTACATGATATATCTTATACCTATTAGATTATATTAGGTATATTTTTCAATATTTTGTATAACTTCAATGTGCACCAGTACTATTGACGTTGTATAAGATATTTAAATACTTCTAAACTCAATTCCTGGATTGGCAATATTAGGCTCATGATCTTATCCGCATGTATTTTTCCCTTTAGCTACTGAGGTATAAACATGGGCTTAAATATTTAAAGGTTCAGTACTTTGTGTAATGAAATTACACTCAACAAAGTAAAAAAACTATTCCAAAATTGTTCTATTATGCATTATGCTATTCAAAATGTAGGTAAGAACCTACCACCTATACTTTTGACTTTTTCTCAATTTCAAGTTTTCTCCTGATTAGTTGAATTAATCAAGTAGGTACCTACCCAAATCTTTGTATGTTTTTTCTATTTGAAACTTAAATGTCTTAGCGCCAACTCTTCAACAAATGTTTTCCTTTGTTCTATTCACTATTCATTCACTGAAAGTATTCTTGTAGGTAATTTTGTTTCGACCTAATGAACACCTCATATTTAAAACGATGATCGCTTTCTAAAATTGCGATATTTTGCTTTAGGTTTCAAGATCTTCCTTGTGAATTTGCATAAAAGTACTCTCTCTTCTCTTTTCCTGCTGATATCAATAAAAACTAACATCATTCTTCAAATGTCTACATAATAAAACACCAGATGACGATAATTGAAAATTGAATTTATGGGATATTGGTTTTATGTGTGTACATAAAAGAGGTCAACGTGTGTGTGATAGTAATAATTGTTTATATACTTTTGCCTTTTACTTATGGTGCTTTTATTGCCAATAAAATGCATCTGACATTTGTGAAATTTGTTTTGCAATAGTCCAGAAAATTCAAAATCAATTATTTTCAACTTAGTACAATCGTATAGTCTGAATATTTTAGTGAAATCGAAAAATTGCGTTGCGTGTAATCTCACTACGAGAAAAATAATGTATAAATTTCGTGACTACGCCGTGTTCAGAGAGTGAAATTTTATTATTAATATTGTAAGCATTTTGCAAATATTATTAATATTGATATCATCTAGATGAATAAAATTTGAATTTCTTCAAGAAGTTGGTCAAAGGCAAAGTCGAGGAACCGGTATGGGAAGATCGCGCCCAGTTAAGGAAGCAGGTAGAAAGTGACCGGAGAATTCGAAGATTATTAAATCGCCGATTAAGAGCAAACAGGACACTGAATAAATTTTTTTAATAATAAATCACTTAGGTACTTTATGAATGTGTTGACATAGAAGGTGTATATTTTCTTTCAAATAATAATAATCTAGCTAGATAAGAAAACTTATCTTTGACGAAAACAATTTTTGTTTATGTGTGATTATATATTAATTTTTAATTATTACTAGTACTATTATGATAAAGTGCTTTTTTTTTAGCTGAAACTATATAGTACCTATACCTATATGTATAACAAAGAAGAAATACATGTATAATGGAAAATTCCTTTATTCATTATAAAAAATGGTAAACATACAATAAACTAATTCATTATTATTTTTCTGATGATGATAGGGAGTTAATTTTCCAATCATCATAAATTTTATAGCTTGTTTTGTCAAAAATTATCTCAGTGGAAACATTTTTGTAAAACATTTAAGTCAGCTAAAAAAATACTGATAATAAAAGTGCTGATTATTGTGATTGCGTCAGTAGGTACTTGCCGTACAAAACTCATGATTCTTGTAATATACCTACCCTAGCACTTTGTGTGAAATACAAAATTGTATCTACAAATTAGTGTTTTATTTTCTTTTTGAAGAAAAATGTTCGAGTGATTGGATTAACGTTTTGCAAATGGATAAAAAGAAGAAATTGAAATAATCCATAATGAGGTTTCAGGTATCATAAACAGGGTGATTCAAAAGTAAGCGGCATCCTTTCGGGGGCGTATTCCTTGCATAAAAATAAGACAAAAAGTTCCTATTAACATGGGTCCGGAAATGGTTCCTAAGGGAGCTACGCCCCTTCGAATAGGACACCTGAAAGACGTGTTTTTCTGTATAACTTTGAAACCCTTCACAAATGGATTTTGAAAATTGGTGTATTTTATAAACATTTGATGGCAATTAAGATACTAAATTGAAATTTCAAAAATCTTAATAAGTGGCGTCACATACTGGGGAGGGTGAGGGTTAAAACATCCCTATTTTTTTTACTCGTCAGGTTTTTGCAATTCTGATTGACAATTCAGAAAGTTTATAGTTTTTTACACAGAAAAGCTACTCTTGGTTCAATTCGATACAACGTACCGTTTACAAGAAAATTGACTTTGAAAATTTTCTGATTTGCGTATGTTTCGCAAAAACCTGACGAGTAAAAAAAAATAGGGATGTTTTCACCCTCCCCAGTATGTGACACTGATTAAGATTTTCGAATTTTCAATTTAGAATTTCTTAATTGCCATCAAATGTTTATAACATACACCAATTTTTAAAATCCATTTGTGAAGGGTTTCAAAGTTATAGAGAAAAATACGTCTTTCAGGTGTCCTATTCGAAGGGGCGTAGCTCCCTTAGGAAGCATTTCCGGACCCATGTTAATAGGAACTTTTTGTCTTATTTTTATGCAAGGAATACGCCCCCAAAAGGATGCCGCTTACTTTTGAATCACCCTGTATAGAGTCAAAACTTTAGCAATTAAAATTTATCGTACATAGACTAATAATTTATCTAATGTCAGAACCAGGTACCAATTCTTAAGCCATTAAAACCCTGATGCTGATGATAGATTAACGTTGAATAATAGAAACCCCAACCAGGTAAAATAACTTTCGATTCTTGTATACGCGTCAAATGTTACTTTTTCGCCAATGTTATCTTAACTTCCTCTTTTGATTGAATAAATACTTTAAAACCAATTGAATTAGTGTGCGCAAATGATAAAACTTGAAATACTTTCACTCGGAATTTGAATCACCAATTACAAATTTACATGATAATGCAACTTACCAGGATTTCCAACAAAATCTTCCTTTTCCAGCATCAAAGCGGGCGTCTGGAAACCGTAGGCGGGCATCCAGGAATTGCTAACGGCTGAATTTAAATCTGTTGATGGCCAGTCTTGAATCCGGACTTCGTTCATTGTAGTTGAAGTTTGATCCAAACACTATTTATTTCAAAGTTTAAAGGTTCGCATTTTTCTTGTGGAATTCTAGCAAACAAAGTTTTGGATAATGACAATATGCAACAATTTCGATTATTAAAAATTACTTTGTGTTCTTCCTTTAATTAAATTGTAAAATTAAAATCTATAAGACCAAAATCTTCAATTTGAAGTTCTTCAGATTAAACTTTAAATGGCCAATAGATTCCGATCAAAAAAAAAAAAGTTGTACGGTACGTTCACATTTTAACACGGTCATCGAACGGTACTGAAGAATACACGCTTGGGAGACTGAATAAGGTACCATCATCATCATCAACATCTAACATGTTTTTTTTTTAATATTACAACAAGGAATATTATTGTGATTATCCTGTGCATATCTTCTCAATTAACTTCTATTGTACTGAAGGATATAGTATATTAAAACGGCAATTTAATGAATGGGAGAAGAAGGTAAAGTATATAAGATGAAATATTTTATAATAAAAATCCAAAACAATGTTTTGCCTTTCTAAAAAAGAAACTTAGTCACATATTTCATCATACACAAACACTTTTTTAATCCAATATCCTGATGATGTCTCTGTTTTTTTCAAACCGAAACGTCGCACTTGATCCGGCTCGAAGGACCACGCAAAACTAATAAGCACTTGTAATTAATTTAAAAAACAAATTCTAATCGTACACACGTTGACGTCTTATCTATTTGTATACAATACAACCATGGCAACGATATATAACGAAGTGTATAAGGCCAGCAAAGGTTTAATAATCTACATGAGTGTATAATAAAATTGGATTTACGTAAAACGAACGGAAAACCTGCTTCGCGGTTGAGAGAACTAGAAACAATGTTGCCAAAGTACTGAAGAAATCGAGTGGATTGTAAGAAGAAAAGGAAGATATAGGTAGGTACCTATTCGAAGTTTGAGCGTCAGATATTGAAATCATCGAGAAGGAGAGGAGGGTCTTTAAGTTATTTTTTTCTCGATTTTCTATTCTATTTCATTTATTTTTTTGTTTATATTTCTATTTACCTGTGACTAATTTTTTGTTTATTCCAGGCTCTTGAATTTTCTTTTATTTCTTTCTTGATTTTTCATTAAATTTTAATTTTCACTCTCTGCACTGATTCATTAATTCCAGATTCTTGACTTATTCTAGGTTTCACTCAAGATAAAGAAAAAACCAAATGCCAAGAAGGTAGCTACTCCAAAGTTGTTAATACCACCTAAAACAGAACAGGTGAAAAACGAAAAAAATAACGGCGGCTTTCTTAGACCAAATTGAACAGAATGATAGAAACCTGAAAGCCGTCTTTGAAATACTCAATAAGTAACTGAAACAAGAAATGCAACAAGAAAATATTAAGGAGACACTTGTCAGCCTACCACCAAGATTTAAAGGAATAAAGATGAGGAAGATGACAGAAGCTACCTTCCTCAATACCGACGTGCAAATAAGGATAGCTGACCTACACCCACCAGAACCAAGGAATCAAGTCAACAAGAGAAAGGATGATGCAAATAATTGTAAACATCAGTACCTGCACCTCTGATACTCTTGAAAACCTGAAAGACAACATCAAAGACGAACAAATTCTAAAACAAATAAGCAGAGCTAGAAAAACGGCGAAAGGCGACCTCTTACTAAATGTCAAGAGTCAGGACAGACAGTCAAAGAAAAAATAGAGGTAATACTACAAGGACAGCTAAGTATGAGAAGACTGACGCAGCAAAACCAAAGGACTCTACATGTACGAGACATAAACTGCATAACAAGCGGAGAAGACGTAAAAGATGGCAATAATTGGAGACTACGTTAATAGCACAAGCAGAAGGAATCGAAGTAAAATCCATAAGATCCACCAGAAATGGCAACCAAGTGGCGACAGTATTCTTAGCTGAAGCAGACGCACAATAAGTGCCGAATAGAAGGAAGACTAGACTTGGAAAGGTGCTACAGGTGCTGGGGCTTTGGCCACAAAGCCTGACAGTGCAAAGGGGAAGATAGGTCCAATTTATGCCAAAACTGCACTGGAGCAGACCACAAAAGAGCAGAATGCAAAAATGACTCATACTGCCCACTCTGTAAAGCAAATGACCATAACGATGGAGCAGGAAAATGCAAGATGTTGAGAAGTGCTCTATCACGTGCTAGAAGGAGCAAACAGTACGACTGATGGCCAAGGTAATCCAAAACAAGAACAAAAACAACACAAAAACAAACGCGACACCTACTCATACAATGACACGCAACGGCGATAGCAAGAACGAGACAAGGAAGACAACCAAGCTTCTGCAGGAACCTAACTTGAAAAGAATAAAAAATATAGTGTGTGACACAAATCGAGACTGCTTCATTGACGTTAAAAAACGGGCCCTTATGAACTCACACAGCGGAACTGGATTTGCAATGGCGGAACTAGATGATATGGTAGTGATATCCTGCTACTTCTCCCCAAATGGACAACGAGAAGACTATGAAACCCTGCTACACAACATAGAGATATGCATGGGTAGCACAACGAAAGAAATAGTGATGGGAGTAGGGCTTCGCAAGACCAAGACCAAGACCAGTCTGGCCAGTCTTGGTCTTGGTTTCGAAAAATAAATGCTGTCTTGGTGGACAATACTGGGTCAGTCTTGGTCTTGTGATAGTCTTGAATAAAATGTATAGGTACCAAATTTTCAAGATATACATAACATATAACGAGAGAGTAGGTTTAGGACTTCAGAAATAAAACTCCCTTTCTGAAAAAAGTATGCCGACGTTTCGACCATGCATTTTGGTCTTCTTCATAGGCTATTTTTACCAGCAAGAGCGTTTCATGTCAAAAAATACCTCAAAAACCATTCTACAACACAGAGGAACGAAAGAGGAAAAAAATAAATTTCCTACCTGAGCATTCAGGCCAGACAAAGGTTTTCGAGAACCCTCATAATAAAATCACATAGCTCATTAGAATTTTATTAGCCTATTCACAAGAATTAGATTTGGGTTAGTTTGGTTTGGGTGAGATGTGGGATTTGTGTAGGTACCTAAATATCAATTATCTTTGGAAATTCCAAGTTACAGACAAAAAATGCACTCTGACTCCTTGGATTTCGTACGATTACTTAAAAGTAAATCTTACCCGTTGGGTGCACTTAGTACATTCTCTAATTTTTTGGTAGGTATTTGTATATTTGGTATTTGTATATTTTACGGGAATAGGCAATATCAATAATTGAGTCGATTTTTCTTTTCAAGACCAAGACGAGAGTCTTGAGAGAGAGTCTTGGTCTTGGTTTTGGTCTTGAACGTCAAGTCTTGGTCTTGGTATTCAGAAGATTTATTAGGTCTTATTGGTCTTGCTACCAAAACCAAAGACAAGACCAAGACTAGTCTTGTGGTCTTGCGAAGCCCTAGATGGGAGGAGACCTAAACGCTAAGATTATAGCCTTGGGATCCATAATAACAAACACTAGAGGTAAAATACTGGAAGACTGGCTAGCCGGAAAGGAAGTGATTATTCTCAACACTGGGCAGACCCCCACAGTTAGAAGGCAGAACGGATCGCAATTATTGACTTCACAATTGCCACACCAAAACTCAGTAGGGAATAATAAACTGGAGAGTTGAGAGCGGAATAGAGAACCTAAGTGACCATTGCTACATCTGCTTTGAGGCAGAAGAGTTCAAGAGAACTACCCCGGCACATAGCGGTCCCGCAGGATGGACAATTACCACAACTACATGGGCGGCCTCCACCAAAAATCGCGTGCTACTCGACATAGAACCGAAAAGACAAACGACAGACACACTAATGAACAGGATCGCTATATATATGCAACAACTTCTTCCCCAGAAAAAAACCATAGACAAAACACACACCGGTTTACTGGTGGTGTGCAGAAATAGCGGACAAACGAAAAAACTGCAATGAATGGAGAAGAAATTAGATGGAAACATGGATAAATAAGGGCTACAAAGGACGAAAAGGAAACAACATTGGAAAGTTACAAAAAAGCCAAAGCGGGTAATCAGGAAGAAAAAACAGGAAGCGTGGAAGAAATTACTGCAAGAGCTTGAGTAAGAACCCTGAGGAAAGGCGTACAAAATAGTGATGGACAGACTTAAACTATACGACCAAAACACAAATGACAGAAGAGGACATAGAAGTTCAAGTGAACAAGTTGTTTCAAACGCAAGCTACTCAGATATGGTCCCCTATATACAATCTAGAGAAGGATGTCAAACTTGAACTGAAAGACATAAGGGAAGTGGCGGCAAGGATCAAGCCAAATAAGGTACCAGGCCCAGATAAAATTCCACCACAAGTAGTGAGGAAGCTGATAGAGCTGGACAACATGGAAACCATAAGAGCCTTGATGAACCCAGTGCCTAAAAGATGGGACATTTCCATAAAAGTGGAAAACGGCCAAACTAGTATTGATTGAGAAAGCCAACCAACCAAAAACATATATAGACCTCTCTGCCTGCTGAACGACGTCATGGGAAAATTCCTGGAAGGGCTCATTAGGATACAACTAAACAAGGAACTAGAAGAGAAAAGCATGTATTGAACATCAATCAGTATGGATTCAAAAAAGGACGAAGCAGTGAGTGCCATTAAAAAGGTGATGAGCATACCAGAAGACATCAAGAAAAAAGCCTACCAACAATTCTGCGCTATGGTCACACTAGACATCCAAAATGCGTTCTACTCGGCTCCCTGGCAAGGGATTGAAAAAATACAAAATCAGTAATTTCATAAATAAAATAATCCAGTCATACCTTATGCTCACGATACATAATAACAGAACACGGAAAAACCTATAGAATAACATCAGGAGTCAGTGTTGGGCCCAACCCTCTGGAATATCTTTTATACCGAAATACTCGAAATCAAGACAGGATCGAGAAAACGTATCCCTGGTGGCATATGCTGGCGGCCTCGCAATCATAACAAAAGCCAGAACAGCACTACAGCTAGAGACAAAGACTGAACTTGCCGTTAAAACGATAACAAAAAAACTGAGCGAAATGGGGGTGCAAATCGCAGCACAATAAACTGAACTGGTCCTCTTATCGGGCAGTAGAAAGGTCCCCAGAATACAAATATAGGTAGGAGGAACGCAAATAAACAGCCAAAAAGCGATAAAATACCTCGGAGTTCACTTGGAAAGGAACTATGGACCAATACTGACCAGACATGCCAAGTTTGGGTGGGCCAAACGCAACAAAGCGGAGTACTGACAACGGCAGCACTGTCGCTAATTCTGTTTTATATAGGCACCTGCCTGGGATAAAAGAGTAAAATACAACCACTACCAGAAGATATTGGAGAGCGTAAACCGCAGAATAGCTCTGGGCATAATGATGGGATACCGAACTGTCTCAAGTGAAGCCACACAAGCTCTAGCAGGTACGATACCACTGGACCTAAAAATACAGGAGAAAATAGCTATATACCAAGCGGGAACAGCTAGCGCGGAACAAGCAAGAGCTCAGACATATACAAAATGGTAGGAAAGATGGGACATCTACCATAGGGATGGGAAAAAACCTCCATCAAAAACGTAAGAAACTCGCACGAGAGAAGCTGGGGAGAACTAGACCACTACACCATACAGGCAATAAGCGGACACAGGGTGTTTTGATCGCACCTTTGCAAGATAAAGAAAAAACAAGGCGAGGAGTGCTGGTTCTGCGAGGAGGAAAGTGACAATAAGTAGAAACTGGACAGCGGATAACTAAAGACAATATAGCAGAACTGCTATTAAGTACAAAAAGGAACTGGGATATAGTGGCAGGAATGTTGAGAAGTATTATGAAGGTCAAGATGATGGAGGAAAGGAGAAGGGAAGGGAGGCACTACTGCAAGAGTAAAGAACGCACGAAGGGACGCAAAGGAGGTACCTAGAAGGAAAGGAAGGAAATCCGCTCAACCCCTCCTGGAAGTAATACTTAACGGTGGTTTTAGGGGGTGTTATTTAGGCGAAGAGTAGGGGAAGGGTTTTAGTGGGTGAAAGTCCCACACTCCCTAGGTTGCTAGAACAAAAATGACCTAAGCGTGTATAATGCATTTCCAAAGTTTCACTGAAGAAAAAAATTCAACAATTTTTAATGAATTTCCCCTCTTTATTTCTCCCTTTATTCGCTTCAATTTTTGTTTCT